CAGGACGTGTACATGCGATCATTTCTTTTTTCACGCCTTACAGATAATAATTGATATTCGAGTTTTTATAAACGGTGGAAAATCTCGCGCGAGCAAGTGCATGCGTCGTTGATTGAATCAAATAGCAAAAGTTTAGGTTAATTACAGCTTTGCGCTTGAGCCGCATTATAAAGTTCAAAGTATGCTAACTGGAAAAATCCATAGCCGAGATATTCAATGATAATTAATGGATGCAAATGACAGAAAAAAGCGTATAATTATATTTATGCCTTTTTGACGAGAATATGATGCACGAAAACAGCTGAGCTGCTAAAAAGAGCTACAGTAGAAAGGGCTCGAAAAGATTGAAAGTAATATTTTGAGCCAAGATGTTTATCCGCATAAACACTGTTGAGATAATTAGAGTCGAGCGAGACGTTATGACGAGCGGACTTGAGCGAAACAAAAGTAAATCAGCTTGTTTTCAGTCGACTGCTGCATGCAACCTTGCGTTTTGGCAATTTTTATTCACAGCTCGAATGTTTTTTTAATTTTTCTTCGGCTACGCAAACGTTTTTTTTTATTGTCGAAATAATTATCAAGTAATTCAAAAATACAAGAAGTATACTTTTGATGAAAGTGTAGTAAAATTTTTGATAGCAATGTATTTTTCGCTTGGAAATTGTCAAATATAACAAACTCCGATCAGCATTAGCTCTTTTTTTTGTACATTTGCAAACAAACTCACAATATAATATTTGACATTTAGATTGCATGCATCACTTCTACAGGCATTCTTCATTTTCCATTAAGTAAAGATTGATTGCGCAATATGAATAGGCAAAATTTTCAAATGAAACTAGCTAGATTAAAAATTATCAATGTCAGTCGAGCTTTAATCACTGCGCTACACATAAAATATTAATTGGTTATCTTTGATTGAGATAAACGAAAATTGCGATACAGTAACGCAACTCTTTCAATGATTAAATTGAAACTGGTGAACTTGTTGATTGGTCGCTAATTCAGAGACTGCTTGCTTCCACCAGAGAGTGTACGTAATTGCGCTCTCAAAAGAAACGATCGTAATCATTCGAAAGTCAATCGCATATGCGTTCGTGGCGTCAAGACACCGTAATTAAATTTTTGCGGTTTCCGTGGCGCGCATTGTCTGGCAAAAAAATCTGAGTTGCAATAAAACAGTTTAATGCGATTATAATATTCACGAGGTATAGTGAAAGCTTGGCTACATAATACCAAAGCGTGTACAATAATTGGCGAGAAAACAGATCGTAATAATTTTTACAAAAATTTATCGATTTTTTGCAATGAATTGATAAAAATAAAAATTGCAACTGGCATCATTGCGAAAGTTTGAAAATGATATTGAATACGATTCTATTTATTATTACGCCTTCTCGAGTGAGCATATTGCGCGAGCTACGCAAAAACCAGTTACCCATGAGCGAATGATTGATTGACCTTCTGCGCTCGATTCACGCCCTCTCGGAATATCGGATCCTATAATTTTTGGAATATAAAAAGTAATCATTTCGTATGCTGTCGCTTAAGTAAATTTAGAGTCATCATTCACGCCAACGATTTTCGAATTTGATAAATTTTCCTGCTCGAATCATTGATTAAGATTGCATTGGTATATTAATAATTGGCCTCATCTATCATTAACATTGGAACTACTGACTCGAATACAAAACAAAAAACAGATTGCATGAAGAAACCACTGCTCGATAATTTTTAGCTTAGATTAAGATATTTTTGACGCATGAATTTGACGACGCACACCCGGTACATATAAGCAATGAATGGAAATAGAGATATCTTACTAGACAGAAATTTCATTATTAAATACTAATTTTGCGTATATTGTTAGTAAGAAGCTGCCAGATATTTCTCTCTTTCGTGCTGATTTAAGCACTCCAGCATTAATGGTATGATTAAATTTTCAGAAACGAGATAAAACAGATTCGGCTGTTTTAATGCCGAGCATGGCTCAAGCTATGTGCAGTGGACGTTGAAAAGTTTATCGAACCGAAAATTGCGATAGCGCCTCGCGCGAGTGCACTAAATCTAGAATTTTGATATTAATAAGTCAGTTATTTTTTATCGATGTAGTTGATGGACGGTAGGTCATCAATGAAATATACATGTTTAAATATATACTCGTTACTCGCAGCAATCTCCGACGACGGTGGAATATTTTTTCAATTCTTTGATAACTTTTACCCCAAGCCGTATTTCAATAAACACGCGAGTTTTTTTCGAACACGCTTCGCTTGATAAAAGTTAGAAAGAAAAATACAAGACAAACGCGTGTTTGATAGACTCAATTTCTCCGAAGTCCAGCTACTGCTGATATGTATTTAATATAAATAAATATAATCAAATCTATACGGACTCAGTGATTATAGTTTTATTTATTGAAAGTTAAGCGCGGTCTCATTGTTAAGTTACTCACCGACTCGTATGAATTCAATCGAGAAATTGTAATTGGATGTTGAAAAAATATCGACATTCCGAGAAAAGAGTATTAGCCTCAATCATAGAAGAATTTTTACATTAAAAAATGGCTTTAAAAACTTGGTTGTCCATGTGTAAACAAGAATAAAAAAGCTTAGGTTGCGCTAGTTTCGTACAGTAGATTAAAGACAAATCAATTTCGAGCGTTCTCCAGACACCCATTTCGAGGCAATAAAAATTCTCTTACCGAAAAAAAAGAGCTCGCGCGGAGCAAGCAAAGAAAAAAAGCATGTGTTCGCGAGCGAGAGCATAGAGGGTAAGAAAAAATCAACAGCAAGCTGTACATACTATATAATATACATGAGAGAGTACCACTGGGCGCAGAGAAAGAAAGAGAGGAAGGGAAAAAGCATCACATACTCGGGCCGAGTGCCCGAGGGTTGGTAGCTGCATATACATAGCACGTAGCATGGGCGAAGAAGCAGAGAAAGATAGAAAACGAAAAAAGGTTAAAACGCGTGCGCGGCGTGTATAGATATATATATGTATACATAATGTACATACGTATACATGTATATACACATATATATATGTATAAAGGCAAGCTTCGTAAGCAGAGAAAAAGGAGTTTTGAAAAGGGACTAACGACCGGCAGTTAACGGCGGCTCGGAAATTGCCGGTTGCAGGCATCTCTTCTTCGCCACGCCGTGGCCCTGCACTCGCTCAACTCTCTCTCTCTCTCTCTCTCTCTCTCTCCTCAGTGCACCGCGCTCAGCTCGGGAATTATTAAACTGTAGTTTAGTTTAAATTAAGTTATTACCCCTCCCCACCTCACCTTTCTTCCCTCCATACTTTCTTTCCCCTTCCTATTCACAACCTGTGTGCAACTCTTGGCTATTTTCTCTCTTTCCATCATTGTGTGTACACGTATACGAATGTATACAAAGACTTTTCAGGTGTATATGATTGGCATACACGCGTCATGAACTATCTCTCTATGCATGTTTTGCGGTATTTTTTTAGAATAGTTTTTCGACAGAGAACAAGCGCCACGCAATTTTTTTCATTTTTTTTTTCACTAAACTACTTGCTATATATCCACGATTATAATATGTATATAATCAAGCTCGAGGGCACAAATGGCTAGACTGGTTCGACTTTGGAGTTCATTGAAAAAGTTAAATGCTAGTCTTTTCAATTCCAAAACTGCTGTTGATACGTTTGTTTATGTAGGCCTGTACACTAGACTCGCAGCCCCTCTTTCAAACGTCACGAAAATATCCTTTTTTTCTTTTTTCGCAAATGGTTAGCCTCACAAATTCTCTTGCACAGACGGACGCTCGCGTGGCCATCTGTTTTGAAAAAAATTATAAAACTTTCGATTGGAGAATCGAAATTTGCGTGTGTACAACAGCTTCTCGGTATTAATAATACGCACTATTATACTCTGGAGCGCAAAATATAGAAAAATTAAGCCATATAAAAAAAGGAAAGAATTTATCTAAAGAAGAAAAGGTGAGAGGCGCTTTAACGATGGGCTAATAAAGACATTTAACGATCGAGCGGCTGCTGTTGCACCAAGGAATCTTGAATCCTGTGCTATAAACGAAAAATATAAAGTGTTCTAATACTGTTAAAGTTTTTGTTTATTTACAATATGTAGCTAAAATAGAAAACCATTATAAAAATGGCTCTCATAAAGTTGGTTTCAAACGGTGACTTGATCATATTTAGTTTGATCATCATGACAGTAAGCGCTATTGATTTAATCGATGCTTCTAGTTTTAATTCTTATGATTGACGCGACACGCAATCCATCTTCTCAGTTATGCGCAGATTCGAAAAGTCATCGCCGCGTAAAAGTACGAGGCGCGAAATGCAGCGATAAACGTAAAATCAATCGAGCTCAAAAGCGTACGTACACCCAAATCACGTAGGCAACGTTTGCACCCTCCAATGCGTTTCTCCTCTCGAGACATGGTGTTTTTATTCTCAAGGTGAACACGAGGATCGTACCGTCGGTAAATCGCGCCAACATAATGTACAAGATCGTCTGTTTTTTCCTGTACATACGTGAACGAATATACGCACGGTGCGTGTATTTGTAAGCGATCCCACGGGATGTATGTGCGCTCGTAGAACGATCTTATGATTGACCAGCTTACGGAAATCCCCGTAGACTACTTTCTCTCGTCTTTGTTTCGACAACTTTGTTGAAAAATCGATGCGCGTGCAAGCATCCATAGGTATGCAGGTGTGATTTTTTCAAAATCTCCAAATTTTTCACAAATACCTGATTATTTGGAAACATTTAATTTACCGAATCAGTTAATAGTTTTAGGTAAATGAATCGATTACAACGAATAATCGATAATTGAGAGGTGCTACATTCTCGTACTCGTGTTAAAAAACAAGCAGCAAATTGATACTTGGAATTAATTGATGTAAAAACTTGGGCTAGGTAATTATTTGAAAAGAATAGGTGTATATGCTTGGATCGTTGATACGAATAATACTCTGGAGCGAAAAAAGGGAGCACTTACCTTTTTTATCGTCGTCGTCGTCGTTGTTATCGTGGCTCTGATGAAGATGGTGCGTCGCCGGGTGATGGGCGGCAATGCCAGATACCGACAACGGATGACTAGTCAGGCCCGGGTGTCCGTGATGCGGATGATGATGGCTGAGGAAGCGCGCCGCGGCGGCCTGCATCGACTGCTGCACCTGGTTCTGCACCTGGCCCAGCACCGGGTGATGCCAGCCGGGTATGTGAAAGGGAAAGACCGGGGAGGCTCGCTGGAACAGCCTGAGCGGACTGGCGGCCACCACGGGGCCAGCGGCCGTCGACGTGCTGGAGCCGCTCGAGGCCGCCGCTGCGCCCGGCGGCGGCGGAAACGACAGACCGCCGCCCGGTTCGAGTACCATGTTGGGAATCAGCTTTGAGGCCGTTTTCTGCACGTCGCGGCTGCAGTCCAAGTGCAGCCCGACCGCGACGGCCTTCCGTTTGCCCGATATAACCAAAGTCTCGGCGGGGTCTCGGCGGGGTCTCGGCTGACACAATTTTCACAGATGCCGCTTGTCGTTCTCGAGGAATAACGCCACTAGCACGCCATGTACGTATATGTTTACTTATGTGTGCACATGTATCTATATATACTTTTATTTTGACACACGCGCGCACTTACTCGATTGACCCTGTTTTGTTACTACTTGGCTTCGAATATGCTGCACTGTCTTTATAACACATATCACTTCTTATTTACTAAAAATAACTTTGGTAAGGCTAGCAGGTTGTTATGTAAAAGCAAGATTTTTCCGCCTGGCGGAAAATCAATTATCGGATGAAGGGTCGTCAAACTTGCGGTAAATACGTAGATTAATTTTGCGTGAACTAAAGTCACGTCGCTTTGTCACAGTCACGCATTATCACAAAAATTGCGCGGAGCATGTCCTGCTCGATCCAACAACTTGCACTATCAAAAACAGTAGCAAGGACAATGACAGGCCTCAGCAGCTCCTGCTCATTGTCTGCTCTTGGAAGCGGCTTCATTTTCACATATTTCACAGGCTACGGTTACTTCCGACACGCTCATATTTGCTGGCTGTTCATTCAATGACCCTTCCATCATCGAACGCAATGCACGAACTCTCGCCAAAAGTTGTTACGTCACAGTGCGAGCACGAATAAAGAAAAGCTCATAGCAACATCGTATCGATTCTCGTCGATGTGTCAAGATGCTCGAAATTAGCCAGACATCAGCTGACGACGATAGGCCCAAAGAAAAAGGAAGCAGCAGCCGTGAGAGCATCTGCATGAAATGCAGCGCAGGGGGCGACGAGCAGCCTCTCTGCAGCAGCAACAACACACGCGAGGCGACGGCACAACACTATCTGTCCAGCAGAAGCAGAAACACGGACTCGCCGCTGCTGGCAGCGCGCGAAGCCCTTGCGAATGTGTGCGTGACGCGTACGTGCACGCGACTCGCTCCGCGTGTGTGAAGCTGGCTGGCGTACGCGCGCCGCGTTCCACCACCATTGGTGGAGCCATCGAGCTCGGTAGGCGTCGTCTTTGCCGAGCCGCGGCCACGCCCGCTACTCGTTCTGGCCTTTTTTTGCTGCCTTCTCCTCGAGCGCGAGCCGCCAGTCTAGCTGCCCGAGCCCGCAGCCGAGCAATTGAATCGAGCGCGCGGCAGTGGGGATGAATCAATTGGGCTGCCACAAGATGGCTCCTCCTCCCCGCTACTTCACCTCTTTCTCTTTCCCTTTTCCTTCTTTCTCTCTTTCTCTCTTTCTCGTACTTGATCAATTTATTCCCTCTTTCGCTCGTCGTATTAATCGTTTTAACCTCCGCCACACCTATACCGACTCTCTGTGTTTCTCTTATTTATTTTGCGCCACAGATGGAGAAAAGAACCTGAGCCAGCCCAAGGAAAGAGAGAAAAGATAATTTGGCGGCTTTCCAGGTCAAGTGGAGCTTTATTGAAGCTGATAAGGCACACTTTTGGCCCTACTACGTGTGATTTTGAACTCAGCTCTGAATTCAATGGACTAAAAAAAGGAGGACGAGCTTTTGCCAGAGAATTGATTTCAACTCGAGCAGCTTTTCGATATACTTTTTCATTTAAAATTCGCACGAGCGTTGAGGAGTTTGCTGGATAAAATTTTCTCGATATACAAGCCCCCTATAGTAGCGCGTGTGAACCAGCGGAAAGGAAAAACATCAATCTTCCTATACTTTAACGAATAACAAACTTTGGCTTCAAGAAAAAATTGAATCTGAACGCTGGAGATCAGAATTGGCGCTTCATTATTTATACAATATATTATTATTAACCAACAAAACTCCGTCTTAAAAGTGCAAATCATGAATTATCTTTTCTAGGCAAACACTTATTACCTTGGTTGCGGAGGCAAGAAAGAAATTTAGTTACGGTAAAAAAAAGCCACTCAATGTATAGAAAATTAATTGAATCGAGAACACAATTAAACACAGTAATAACGGAATGATTCTTCAAAATAATTGTTATCGTCTGGAAGGTTCTTTTTGTTAGTTGATATACTTGTACTTTGCCCATGTACATTATCTTTCATGTTATTAAAAGCTGTCGCAGATATATATCGGGGAGCAAGAGAGAAAGAGAGAGACAAAAAGTAAAGATGGTCGTCGTCGGAGGCGTTAAGTAATTATACGTCTTTTCTCTTCCTCGGAGAAAATTAGTCGGGCGCTTACGACTCTCGGGGTCTATGCGGACGCGAGTAAGGCTTGTGGGAGTTGTAGAAGATATATATAACTACATATACGCGCGGACGCGCGCCTCAGGCATGGAAAAATTAGAAAATTAAAATTAGCCCTCCCTTCGAGAGCACGCGTATTATGTTCCGGTCCCCAGCGTGAGGATATATAAGAAGCGCGCGCAGGTTTTTCTTTTATTTTCGACAATTTGTCTTTTAATAATTTGGAATTTATTAATTGAAAGCGATCACAACCAGTTCAAGATTATCATTTATTCATTCATTTAGTTTTATTATTATTTATTCAATTTTTTTTTCTCGTAGCAAAAGAAACAACAAATAAGCGGAAGTCAACTTCACGCTGCAGCTGCTGTTGTACCTCAGCGAGTTACGTAATTTTTTTTTCTTTTTGAACCTCATCATCAGCAGAAGATTTTATTTCTCTCGCAGTCCGCGTGCATCATTCTTGACTTTTTTCTTAGAAAATAATGAAAAGGTAAGCTTGCTGCTGCAGCTTGTTAGTCGCGCTTGCACCGTCTCCGTCACAAATTGACTCGCGCGGGAATTCGCGCTCCGGAGACGGAAGTATACAATGACTCTCTGTGGCTCGTTGGCATCTCATTTTTTTATTTTCTCTTCCTTTACATACCTACACTAAATTTTTTTGTTGTCGCTTTTGTGCCTGCGCTACGATGAGAACGACTCAAGACCCTCGATAAGGTGTGAATTATTAGGCTTGAACGGCCGCGACTTAGCAAACTTATGCATTCGAGTTGAGAAAGATGAAATTACCGAAGCGTCGAGTCAAATCTTTGAACTATGCGGGAATCAGCAGAACGAGCAGCGGTCCGTCGTAGACTCGTACGCAATTCATGCATAAGCAAGTGTCTTTCTTTTCAGGCGGCTCATGCGATCTCCCCTTGCTACAAAGTAAAAAAAGAGGAAAAAGAAGGAAATCATGCTGGCAAGCACAAGTAAGAGAGTATAAGAGAGCAGTAATCTCCAGAACGTTATTTGCTATTCGTCCGACGCCTCGCGCAGTGTATCGTTATTTAAGCTTCGCGCATTAGAAAGCTCTGCTTTCGAGTCGAGCTGCCTGGGCTTTTTTGATGTATAGCCGACGCGTGCCCTTACGCTTGCTTTTAAACGTGAGATATCGCCACTCGATCAATTTTTCATGAAGCCTACAAGCTCTCCTTCTTCTTCTTCTTCTGCTCCTTTTTTTTCATTTTTTGCCCTCTGCTTGCCTCTACCGTCTTTCGTTTTTGCGCTCGAGCTTGTAATATCAAACCGCTCGTAAATATGAGCGATTGCAAGCATTCAATCGTAAGCATGTATTTATACTAATACGAATATTGCGATGCTTTAATTTGTTGCAGCGTCAATTAAGTCGAATTTTTCGACTCGCACGCGCGTAAACAGACGATTCAAATTTACATAATAATAGCAGGGCGCAGAATATTCGCCGAACGACGTGAGAATAGTTCACGCCAACTTCCGAGGATCGGAAAAATTGCTGGTTTCGAAAATGAGAGGTTCAATCGATCGCTTCGAGCGGCGCGCAGATGCATTAGCGAGCATTTGTCGCGCTAAACGTTTCGGCGCCCCAAGTCCGCAGGCCCGAGAAGAAAATGTCGCTGAATCGACGAGCGAATGAATGAATAATAAATATAAACAAATGCGAAATAACGCACGAATATATGGACATTTAAGCGGCAATTCAGTCGCAGCGCCATAATAACGTCGACATAAATATTCTCCGCTGATAGTCCCATAAGTCGTTAAAGAGATACGCCGAGGCAGGGATGCGACGGCTCTGCACGCTCGGCTCGCGCGCGCGTGTATACATGTATTATATGAGTTACTTGTTATCTAAAGTGTACAACACAACTGTTCTCTCGGTATGCGCAGTCTCTTTTCTCTACCGTGACTCATCTCATAAGTGACAAACGGCACGATGCATTAAAATTAGTAATCAGCTACGAATTTATTGCAGCTCTCGTAATTTTAATGAAAAATGTACTCGATGCAATTTTCCGCTCATATAGAATAATTGAATGATTTCACTGATCGACGAATTACAGATATGGAGCCCAGCGTATTGATTAATTATTCGTTTTGCTTAGCGACTGGGCAGCCGAGTGTAGGAGCATCGAGATCTGCTAGAAGCTTTCTCGAGCTGCACATGGAATTGAATCCCTCACAAGAGAGATGAGAGGAGTAGTGGTGCGGTTGCCCGTAGCAACGACTACTCCGCGGCACGTTGCCCTGGGTAACTCGGCTCCTGCCGCTGCGCCATCAAGAGCCCCTAAATACACTGTGCGACGCGCAGCGGTGGCTGCGGCTTTTTTCGGCGATATAGACTCGATACTTGCTCGTGTCGCAAAGAGTGACAATCATGCGCCATGCCAGCGTGATTTCTTCTTTTTTGATTGACTCGCTCACCAAAGAGCAACAGAGATAGCGAGAGGGATTTACGACGTATAAGCTTTTAAATTGTGACTGATGGGCGTTTTTTTCTCCGTCAACTTACTAACATGACTGCTGATCTGCTCGATTTATGTTGGTTCAAACTTGAATGGACTGAAAAAATTAAAGCTTATTTCAACAATCGTACAGTTTACAAAAATAAAGCCCAGAGCCACTTGACAAACAATAGCCAACGAAAAGTAAGTTCATTAGCTAAACAACTGCACAGACTCAGCTCGCTCATGTTCATATACATAAATACAAACATAAACGAGTAAAAGAGTGAGCGAGAAACTGGAAGT